TGATGTAAAGCCACAGGGACCGAGGAGGCCGATGCGATGATGCCTGCAAGGAATATAATACCTGCAGTGAGCCACCCAAAGAATCTTTTAGTCCTTTTTCTGACAGTATCTAACACCAATGCTAATTGGGGCAAGGTGGGGGATTCTTGCCAGGGTTGTGTCATGTCGATGGGGGGATGGGGGGGACCATATCACTACCGGTGGCTTTAATATCATAAAGGAACTGGAAAGTTGACAATTGGTCAGATTGATACATTGCTGTAAAATGCAACCAACACAGGAGGTATAATACAGAGCCTCAGATCTATTAAATGTAATCATTAGATCTTTAAAGAATAACATAAGGGTTAAGTACATAAGCCTTAAGATGAATAGTCTGTATGTGAGAGGTGTTCGTAAGAGTTCCGGTACCATTTTTGGTATGTTTTCCATTCCATTTGTGGATAGGCTGGGATGCCAATCCCAATTTCCACATAGTATCTTGTACGGGACCAGAACCTAATTTGGCTGCAGAAGGGCTCAAGCCCCTTCCTCCCCATCTAATGGAATCATTACTTATGGTTATCATATAAGGAGTCTTTTTTGGGTGCATTTGGTGTAATTCCAAGGGAGCAAAGTACCATTTTGGTCTCTAAATTCTCCATGGGGGCTCCCGTATAGGGAATGGTGGTACTACCTCTGCAGGAGCAGAGGGTGGAGGAAACACATATTCATGCTTTGCTTTCCTTTTCTCTCTGATGGTTCAAAAGCTGATCTAACCAAAGCCCAGGCAGAAAAGACTGGAATTAGCACATTCAAACCCTGTCTGTATTGTTGCTGTAGAGTTCGCCCTATCCGGTCCCATGTGTCTACATCTGGTCTACCTTCTCCTGGAAGGGCAACAGCATGTTATATACTGGACCAGTTCCTGCAAATGTTCCGTGGATATCTGTGCTCCAGCTTGTTTAAGCAAACATTTTAAAAGGGAAACATACTGAGTAAGACTAGACAAATTCTGTCCCCATAACCCTGCCTGAAACATGCAACACAATCAACTGTCTTGTCCCGACCCGAGTTAGAGTATCGCCGCTGCAGTACTCACTATTACCGACTTCAAGTCCCTGTTCGGGTGCCACTTGCCATGGAGCCAGGATAGTCAGAGGGAACGATATGAAGAAAGACTGGGAGTATCACTGAATTTCAATCTGGGGGACAGGGGGACCGAGAACACTCGGACACCCAGCCTTTGTCTCATCCAGCTTTTAAGAGAGCTAACATGATGGTTGGTAACAACCATCATGAATCTACTTGTTTAGCTGTAGGAATGATTAACCTTGGAAAACAGAGAAAAACATGTTTACTTCAAAGGGTAAAAGAATGGTCCTGCACAATACTTTGCAATCATGTCATATGATGTATAAAGAGGCTATTAATGCTGGGGGTGGGGGGTGGGTGCGGAGGAGCTCTATCTGGAGAACAACATGGTCAAGAGTCAGTGTGGCGGCTCAGGACCTCACGTATCCCCAGTGTGCTGGGGGTAATGAGATTCAGTTCTCTGATAAGCTCTGCAGCTGGTTAGCCACACTTCGTAGTCTATTCGGGCCTTCAACTGATTGGATGAGGCCCACCCATATTATGGAGAGCAATCTGCTTTACTCAAAGTTCACCAATTTAAATATTAATGTCATCTCCAAGCACCTTTAAGTTGACACATGAAATTAACCATCACAATAGCCAAGACACTGTGGAAGAAGATCAAGGCTAAGGGACTTAAGCTGTAAGATATCAATACCTATTTTAAAGCTATAGTAATTAACAATGTACTATTGACACCAGGATGGAAAAGTAGGATAATGGAAGTACAAAAGGAGCGCAGAAACAGACCCATGCGTATTTGGTCCCAATTTTTTTTTGTCCCAATTTTATGTCAGAAGCGACAATATCATCCAGGAGAAAAAGAACGGTCTCTTATTAGATTATATTGTTAGTCAGATATCAACATGGAAAAAATATTAATCTAGATCCCTTCCTTACATCATACAGAAAAATCAATCATATCTATCTATGGAAAGTAAAAGAATACAACCTTGGAAGAAAACAGAGAGTACATCTTTAATGCCTTGGAATTGGCAAAGCTATCCTAAGCCTTCTTCTGTCCCATCATTGGACTGAGTTTCTTTTATCGTCCTGCAAATTTATGCTGTTCACCAATCAACATGAGTGGAGCTGGAATTTAGATGTTCTTGTTTGTGTGGCTAACTGAACCATCCCCATCTAGGCCCCATCCAGTGGTTGCTGATTACTGAGTCGCTCTTTCGTGTTACTGATAGTTCAGACATTTATCGAGTGCATATGGATGTCATTGCCTTTGTCCAACACCATCACTGCTCCTGACCAACTTGGTCAAAACCAACTGGTTGGACTGGCACTTTAGATCCCTACAGTAGAGCATGGACATCCTCCTCCCATTTACACTGCCCCATTTCTTTCTCATCCCTTATCTATCCACCTGAATCCTCAGTCCTGGCTAATCATTATTTCTTGGTCTCCAGACACACCTTGAATTTCACCTCTTCCAAGTCCATTCATGTTGTTCCCCCAGTGGGACAAACCCTTCTGTGCCATATTATTTCCAGGCCACCTGCCTCCAGTGTCTTGAATCATCCCCCTTTCCATAGGCTGGGTGGTCCTAGTGCCAGGAGACCAGGGCTTCGGGCTTGTGAAAGGCTTCCTCTGCTGGAGGAGGACAGGCAAGACTACGCAGTCATTACCAGGCTCTGCCAGGGGGCAATACTGGAGAGGTCAGTGTCTCAGAGTCTTAAGACTTTGGGGACACCCACCCCAGAGAGCGAATACTTCAAGTTGCGGGTACCAAAGAGAGACAACTTGGCCAGGAGACATTGCTATATCTCAGACAGGATATGCACAGGAGATGTAGGACAAGGGTTCAAACAGCTGTTATCTTGCCTGCCAGCCCCAGTCTTTCTACAGTGCAGGTCCCAGGGATGAGAGGACACGGTGGGAGAAGGGTGGTGAGTGAAGCAGTCTGTTCATCTTGGGCCTCCACACTATCTGCTAATTGTGTTCTTGTTGCTCATGGAAGCCTCTACTTACATCTTGTCCCCCTACTGATGGGGAGGTGTTCTTAGTCTTTATCTCAGACCCTACTGCCATTTAAGCAGCAGTAGGGAGAAGTCTCAGCTCCAGGCTCTGCCTCTCCTGCAGCGAGCCAGACCGGGTCCCGGCAGACATGGCATACGAGCGTGAGAGCCAGGAGCAGGTGGGTTCCCACTCTTCCTCTGCTGCCCACCATGCTTGGGCTACTAAACCATTTGAGCCTCAGTTTCTTGGTTTATGAAATGCGGATGACACTCTCTGGCACACAGAGTGGTTGGGAGGACATATAGGAGATGACATATGTCAAATGTCTCACTTGGCACCGGTGCTCTGCACATATTGACCAACTCTGTCTCCACCCCATCATTACCCACACACCTGCTCATCAGGGAATGAGGCTGAGAATATCAGTATCAGTGGAGTGGCAGAGATGAATACTGGCTGCAGCAGCATGACAAGGGCAGGACTGATGGGGTATCCTGGGGGGAGGGGATGGGTGTGGGGACATAACCATGGGGCATCAGTCTTTGAGGATCCATTGTATGTCAGGCACTGCTCTTTACACACACTCATCTGATCCTCATAGTAACTCTGGGGTGGGGGCAGATACTTGCAGCAGACAGGTTCTGGGGGTTCTCCATGATTCCTGGCTTCTGGTATCCATACCCTTGTCTAATGGTCCCCTCTGTTTGGATGTGGGTGGCACCTGCTCCAACCAATGGAATATGGTAACAGATGTATTCCACATACGTGATATTTTATCAAGACTATAATGTCCTGTCTCTTAGGACCACCCCGATCCCAGGCCAGATGGAAAAACACTGGGGAAGGAAGTAGAAATGCTGTGAAAAAGGCTCTGGCCTCTACAAAAGGTGCCCAATGATTTCATCAAAGGTGCTCGCCCTCTCTGTCGTTTATACCAGAATGGGAACCAGCCAGAAATCATTTTTCAGTCTTCCCAGAGGAATGACATCATCTCAGCAATCAGTGAACTAGAAGGCTCATACCTCTGCTTTTCAAAAGGAAAATGACTATTTTGTGGTGCATTCAGACAAAGCCCAGGGTGCTTACCAAATGGCCTGCCTCTTGCTCCTGTGGCCTCATAGCAGAGCAGAGCTAATAAGATGGTCAGGCCAGGTGGACACTCTGGACCTGGTGGCCAAGGACAGGCAGGCGAGATGGCCACATGCCCTCCCTCCTCTGGCCTCACGTCTGTCACCACATGATTCTGATGGCAAATATCCCTGGGGGCCTTGGCTCATTCTCTGATGTGAGGGCTTGATTTGCCCTCTACACCTGGGCCAGATACCCCCAGGGGAGAGAGCTTGAAGGATGCCTCTGAGCTTGAAGAAGCATCCTGACATGGAGTCCTGTGGAAGGAATGGTCCCAAGGGTGGAAGATGAGCAGTCTGTACTAGCTCAGGACCTGGGGCAGGGAGGTTTGCCTGAGGTCGGGGCACAAGCCCCAAGGCCGGGGTGGGGGTGTCAGGGACATAGCCTGGGGGGAGCACTGGGGAGGGGGTGCTCAGGGAGGGGGCTGCAGAGAGCACATAGGAGGGAAGTAGAGTGTTGGTCTTAGGGAGACACCGCTGGCCTGGGTGCAGAGCCTGGAGTAGGGACTGGCCCGGGGTGCAGGGAGGGGCCTTTCCACCCTCTGTGGCTCACCGTCCTGGTCCTAAACTGGTCCAGCTCCTCCTGCCCCTGCCCTGGGGTCTGCCTGTGCCTGCTCCCCGGGTTGGGCTGCCTCCCCCACCCCTGGGTGGGCTAGCCCCTTGTTGCCCGCCCCCCACCTGCAGCCCAGCCCACCCACCGGCCCCGCCCAGAGGGAATGGTCCCATTTAAGGCCGCCGGACACCAGGAGGCCTCACTTGTGTCTCCAGCCCCGCGTGGGATGAAGTCTTGCCATGGCCTCCGGGCCTTTTCCGTGCCTTGGGTTGCCCCCACACCGTCTGTGGGCTCTGAGGCCTGGCGTCTACGAGGATGAGAGGGGGCGGACCTGGGTGATCGTGGTGGTGCGGCTCAGTCCCTCCTGGAGAGCTCAGGGCAGGGCCCCCCGCCACTATGCGGTGAGTTGTTGGGCATGGGGGTGGGGGGTGGGAGGGCTGCGCATGGACCTCAGCCTGGATGCACCTGTCACATTCAGTGATAGGGCCCTGGACAGAGGTGAGAGGAGGCTGTTCCACTTGTTCTGAAAAACTCAGCCCATGCAGGGTCCAAGCACAGTGATGTCCATGCCTGATGCAGTCCCAGGAGGTCTTACCTGGAGGGGCCAGTGTCATGAGCTTATCTGCAGGAGAAGATGCGGCCCTCACTGGGAGGCTGAGGGGAAGGTAGGTCAGAGCCCAATCCTGCCCTCAGTACATGCTGGGAAGGCTTCACAGATGGGGCAGCTATTCAGCTGGGCCCTGCAGCATAAGTAAGAGTTTTCCAGGACCGCACAGGAGGCTTTGCAACCTAGAGGCAGCAGGTGAGCCAATAGGGTAAAAGAAACATTGGCATCCAGTTCCTTATCTGCGAAAAAGGAATAATACAACTCTGTGGCAGGTGAGTCACAGACGCAGCTCCCCAGCTGAAAAGACTTGGAAGCGTTTGACAGATAACAACTCCTGGAATCCCACTTGGGAAACAGATTCCGGATTCCTTCGGAAACTAGGGTGGAGTCTAAGACCCTTTAGGATTTGAAAGCTCCTCAGGTGGTAAAGATAATCACTCTGGTCAGAAACAGTGGCCACAGGTGGGGGGTTTAGATCCATCTTAGAGGGGTACAATAAATACCTCTGTGTAATATGGTAAAAGCTTGTCAAGGTATTGAAAATGCCATTATAAACAATTTGCTGACATTTTAAACAATACAAAACATTCTAGCAATCTTCAAAGAGATAATCCAGAAAATTTTTGGTGGAGAACACAAAGTATTTCCCACACCTGCACCAAATAAAGCTTGCAAAAAATTCTGGGCAAAGTATTGGTAGGTTTTCTAAAAGCGTAAAATGCATTCAGTGGAGAAACTGGATTCAAATAATGTAGCTACGGATGCAGTGTGGGAACCTGGAGAATGAGCATTTCCCTCTATTTAAAATAATTACTACTTAGTAGCAGATCTGTATTTTCATATATAATCTTAGGATGGGAAGCAGCTTTCTGAGCCTGACCTAATATATAAGGCCCAGCAAATTTTCTGTAAAGGGTCTAATAGTAAATATTTTCAGCTTTGCAGGCCCAAAGGACCCTATAGTGACTGGTTGACTCTGCCTTGTCATGCAAAACCAGCCAAAGACAATATGTAAAGGAATGAGCATTTGCCTACAATAAAGCTTTATTTACCAAAAGAGCTAGCCGGCCAGATTCAGCCCACACTTGACTGATACCTGATCTAAAGCCAGAATCTAAAAGGAAAGAGATTTTGCTGTGTAATTAAAAGCCTTTCCTCTGTAAAATGAGCCCATAACAAAGTTAAGACAACAAATTAAGAAAAATTATTTGCCATATGTATGATTGATGAAAGACTAGGATCCTTACGTCTTAAAGATGCTCATCACAAAGAAAAGACAAATACTCAGATAAAAAAATGCCGTAAGGAGCTCTCCATTTTGTTGTAACAAAGGGAGCTTTGATTATGGTTGATGGTGGTTTCCCCACTCACTTTTATACCTTTCTGTATTGGCCACATTTCATTCTATTGTATTTATTATGTTTGTAATAAGTATGTGAAGGCCAGAATCAAAACTACAATATACTGGGAATCCCTGGGTGGCCCAGGACATGATCCTAGAGACCCGGGACCAAGTCCTGCGTTGGGCTCCCTGCATGGAGCCTGCTTCTCCCTCTGCCTATGTCTCTGCCTGCCTCTCTCTCTCTCTCTCTCTCTCTCTCTTTCTCTCTCTCTCTTTGTGTGTCTCACAAATGGATAAATAAAATCTTAAAAAAAAACTACAATATATTTTGGGAGGAAACCCATCACTCCCAGGACCTAAGGTGTACAGGTACTTTATTATTTACAAAGAAGATTAAAAATCTCTAGAAATGGCTAGGACAGAAAGGCCCAAGGCATAATCTGTGCAGGTCGAAGGTTGCTGATGGGTGGGAAGAGTGGCTATCTTTTCAGGGGTACAGTGGGGGTAAGGTGGGATGCAGATCAGTGGGAGGACCATACTTGGGGGAGCTGAGAGAGAATCAGTCATCCCAGGTCTAGACTAGACCCCCCAAGAGATGGTGGGTCTGAGACTCTGAAAACATTCACATCTGAAGGGGCAGCTCCCCAGCGGGCCAGGCATCCAGGATGTTATGTGTTTGCATGCAGCCCAACTTTCATGGGAAGCCTGTCCCTGATGTGCCACCTCCTCTCTGGTCCCTGCAGCATGAACCCAGCATCACAGTCCACATGTGGCAGATGCCAGTGCATCCCCAGGTGCCCATGCTCCCCAGTGAGCTGGCCCTCTCCCAGCTGCCCTTCACATGGCAGCTCCACCCTGGAGGAAGGTACAGAGCAATGGATTCCAGACTCTGGGAAATAGAGGACCACGGCCAGGCAAGTGTGTGGTGGTCCCAGGAGAGGGTGACGAGGAGCAGGTGCTGACGGCATGTGTGCAAAGCAGGACAAGGGATGGAGGGGCTGGGCTACTGAACTCCACAGACCTGGGTTCCCATCTCCTTTGGGTGGATGAATATGTATTTCCTAGGGGCTCTGACTGCTGCCCCCTCTCCTGCAGGTTGACTCCACAGAGCAGCTGATCCTGACACAGCTGCCACCAGGGAATGACTGACGATGGAGAGCCGCTCACAGGCTGGTATGGCAGGGTCTGTGTCCAGCAGTGTGGAGGTCAGACAAAAGTAGAGGGGCCTCCCCTCTTTACAGAGAGACAATACTGACTTCCTTTCCCTCCTTCTGTTCCCTGAGCTATTCTCACACAGCCACCCCATAAGCCCCCTTGGATGTGATTTTCACTGTGCATGAGAGCTCACCAAGTCCTAGTCATCATTTACTCTTTGCAAGAATTCTGTAAGGTGTATGTATCAACATCCCACTTGACAGATGAGAAAGCTGAGGTTCTGTGGGTTGGAAGGATTGCCCCAAGACGTGGAGCCCAGACATAGTAGCAGTCCTGTTCACATCCAAGGAGGTCCGACCCTGGCACAAGTCGAATCACTGGCAGTGGTCTTCGAGGACCGTGCATCCATCCGCAGATGCCTTCTCCCCGACACTGACCAGGGCAGGGCCCAGTGAGTTGGGGGGACTTGAGCTAGGGTCTGCCCTCCCACCCCTTTGTCCTGCTTGGAGTAGGTACCATGTTCCTCCATGGTGCTCTGTCTCCTTTTGCCTTCTCCCGGGTCTCGCTGACCCTGTGGGTCCTCCTGAGGATCTTCACACACCTACTCTTCTGTTTGCACACCCAGCAGAGCCTCTGTGGTGGGGGGCGGGACAGTGGGAGGAGGCAGCGGGGCCCTTGCCAACTCTGCTTTCTTTTCTTTTTCTTTTTTTTTTTCCAACTCTGCTTTCTTGTTGTCCTCAGGAGTCCTGCTGTACTCAGCTCTGCACTCAGAGTGAGACCTGCCTAGATGGCCCCCATCTGAGTGCTGGGCCCAGTTCCCCTGCTGGCTGCAAGCCAGGGTTTCTTTTTCCCTTTGGTGTCCCTGGTCCCGATCTTCCGAGTACCCATTCCCAGATCCCTTCCAAGGCCCCCAGACCCTGCTCCAGCCAGACCCCTGGCCTCCAGTATAGCCCGTGATCAAAACTTGTCATTGGCCTGCACCACATCAGGCAGGGAGTGGGTCACTTTAAGAGATGGCCTCAGAGGGAACCAGGTCTGGATTTGGGACTCTGATGGGCATCAGTTCTGCTGACCTGCTGGCCAGGAGGAGATGGAGTGCTGGGCAGGCTGTCTGCTTTGGAGTCCAAGGCGGCCTGCCTGCATCAGGGGGGTGTGGTGGTGGCACGGGTAGACTTGGCCTGTGGTTCTCCTGCTGCTTCCATCCTTCAGCTTCTCAATGTGATGCTGGTCTGTGAAGGTTCCTTCCAGGAACTGGTTAATTAAACTTTACTGCTTGTGGTCAACTCTTGTGCTGAATCAGTTTATTTTAAACTGGCTCTTAGTGCAGAAAAGCAGTGGTACTTAAGCTGGCACTTAAGGTTGAAGGTAAATTTTAATGACCCATTGAGAGTTTTCCACCCTGGGAGGAAGTTGTTATTGGCCCACTTCAGGAGCAGGACGCCAGGGGAAGGGAGGCAGGGGAGCCTCCTCTGGGGGCTCTGTGTGAAGCCTGGCGAAGGCACATAAGCCTGGCAGGAGCTGGGGGAGAGCCCTGTCTTGTGTCCAGATGACCCCTCCCCTGCGTGTCTTCATAGGATGGCAGAGGGAAGGGTCTGGAGCACCAGGCAGAGTCTGAGCTGCTAACCAGGACCACAAGAGAAGAAGAGGGCAGTGTGGACGCAGGGCAGGGTGACAGTTTAGTGGTGGGAAGAAGAGGGCAGTCCCTCCCCTACACCAGTCATGAGAAGAAATCACCAGTGGATTAAAGTCCTAATCTGAAGAAAGTGCAGGAAAATGTGTTTGTGATCTTGGGGTACAAGAAGCCTTAAGACACAGAAAACCAAAGATAGGGACGCCTGGGTGGCTCAGTCATTGAGCGTCTGCCTTTGGCTCAGGTCATAATCCTGGGGTCCTGGGATTGAGTCCTGTATTGGGCTCCCTGCAAGGAGCCTGCTTCTCCCTCTGCCTGTGTCTCTGCCTCTCTGTGTGTCTCTCATAAATAAATTTAAAAAATCTTTAAAAAAAAAAAGCCAAAGACAGTATAGACAGTTGTTCAAGTTAAACGTTTTCTGTAGGACAACATACCATACCAAAAGGCAAGGTGGAGGAGGCTGGGACTGTATACCTAAGCCCTAGAATGTAGAATGGAGAGAGAACTTCTAGAAGTCTTCAAGAAAAGAGGGCAATTGCCAGGAACTAGTAATTTAGAGAAGAGGATGTTGGAGGGAAGAGGCTCAGGTTTCAGGACTCAGAAATCTGCAACCTACAGAATGGGAGAAGATTTTTGCAAATGAAGGGCTAGTTTTCAAGATCTATAAAGAACTTATTAAACTCAACACCAAAGAAACAAACAATCCAATCATGAAATGGGCAAAAGACATGAACAGAAATCTCACAGAGGAAGACATAGACATGGCCAACACGCACATGAGAAAATGCTCCGCATCACTTGCCATCAGGGAAATACAAATCAAAACCACGAGGAGATCCCACCTCACACCGGTGAGAATGGGGAAAATTAACAAGGCAGGAAACAACAAATGTTGGAGAGGATGTGGAGAAAAGGGAACACTCCTACACTGTTGGTGGGAATGTGACCTGGTGCAGCCACTCTGGAAAACTGTGTGGAGGTTCCTCAAAGAGTTAAAAATAGACCTGCCCGACGACCCAGCAATTGCACTGCTGGGGATTTACCCCAAAGATTCAGATGCAGTGAAACGCTGGGACACCTGCACCCCGATGTTTCTAGCAGCCATGTCCACAATAGCCAAACGGTGGAAGGACCCTCGGTGTCCATTGAAAGATGATGGATAAAGAAGATGTGGTTTGTGTATACAATGGAATATTCCTCAGCCATCAGAAATGACAAATACCCACCATGTGCTTCAATGTGGATGGAACTGGAGGGTATTATGCTGAGTGAGATAAGTCAATCAGAGAAGGACAAACATTATTTGGTCTCATTTATTTGGGGAATATAAAAAATAGTGAAAGGGAAAAAAGGGGAAAGGAGAGAAAATGAGTGGGAAATATCAGAGAGGGAGACAGAACATGAGAGGTTCCTAACTCTGGGAAACGAACAAGGGGTAGTGGAAGGGGAGGTGGGCAGGGGGTGGGGGTGACTGGGTGACGGGCACTGAGGGGGGCACTTGATGGGATGAGCACTGGGTGTTATGCTATATGTTGGCAATTTGAACTCCAATAAAAACAAAACAAAACAAAAAAAACAAAAAATAAATCTGTATCCTTGGTGTTGGTGGAAGTAAAGGCTTGATGGGATCGTGTGGTGGGTGTGTCAATTGTTACAGCCACTTTGGAGGTTTGGGGACAATTCATAAGATGGCACGTGGGGCCTTACGTGGAGTGCCTCCCTACAGCAGGGTTGCCGAGCTCCGTGCTGTGGACATTTGGGACCAGGTAATTCCTAACCACGAGGAGCCACCCTTGAGCATGGCAGGGTGCTTGGCAAGCAGCATCCCTGGTCTCTACCCACTAGGTGCCAGTGGCACCCTCTCTTCCCCTTCTCTGCCCTTTTGACAACAGAAAAAGTATCTCCAGGAAATGCCAACTGTCCCCTGGTGGGGGATGGTGCTGGTGCGTGGAATATTGCCCCAGATGAAAACCACTGCCCAAGAAAATCGCTTGCCTGTGTGCAAGTCAGGAGAGGTCAGGACAGCTGGGGTGACAACTGGGGTCCACCGAGGAACAGTTGAATGAAAGGAGACCCCGTGAGCAGAGATTGGGATGAGCCCCTTCCAATTAAAGGCTTCTGTGACCTGAGAAATAGGCTCTATAGAAAGCCCCCCTGCCCTCAGCATGCTCTCCCCTCCCACTGGCCTGAGACAGGGGCCCGGGGAGGGTGTGGCCCGCATCCCGCATCCCAGTCACAAACCAGGAATGACCGCATGATGATACACAGGGCAAGAGTTAGGAAGCTGTCCTTTTAGTTGAGTGGCAAGTTTACAGAGTCAGGGACAGCAGGGAAAGCAGGCAGGCCAGGGTGGGGGGCTCTCCTGGACACCCGGTGCATGTGTGATCCAGGGCAGGGGACTCAGCCTCCATACCTTCACCTCTCCTACTTGGCAGCCATGAGAATGAGTGTAACGATCAAGAAATACACCTCTTGGGTGCCAGGAAGGCTGGTTTTGGGTGCCAGCTCTTTACAGATGCCCGGGAGTGCCAACTGTCCAGCCCCTGGACGCACCCGCAGGATGGGGGAAGGAAGCCACTGGTCTCATGGGTAGCTGGGCCTGGGGGCAGCCTCTCCTCCTGAGAAACAGGGCCTCCAGTCGTTGCCTCCTGCAGGAAGTCTCCAGTGTCAGGTTGGGGTGGCTCTGCCGCTTGCGTCCCAGGGCCTGCTTGTCCTATGGCATTGGGAGGCTCCCTGTGCTCAGGCTGGTCCCTGGGGATACGCCATTGGGATCTGCTGCCTTCTGGGCACTGCCTGTGGTCTGCATGCCCGCACGGCCCCCACTGCACTGCCACATGTGTTCTGTGCCTGTGACGGCTTCACCTGAACTCCCATTGCCTGCTGTGCCAAGGGTGCCCTGTGACCCCCCTTGCAGTTTCTGTCTGGGTGGTCTGTCCTTGGCATCTGGTGTGGGCTCAACTTGCCCTGGCACCTGGCTGGTGCCACACGGGATATGGTGGTGGCTCATGGATGCTCCAAGAGCCCTCACCCCACCTCGCCGTACTGTGCCTTTTGCTTTGGTTAGGCCCCCAAAATCACTGCTCTGAACTCAGGAAGGGGGGAAGTGGGCCTGCTTGATTTTTCTCCTCCCTCTCTCCTTCACTCTGTCCACACTTCTCCTTTCCACCCCAGTTCTGAAGCAGGAGGAGCAGCAGGCTCTCCTTTTGCCTCCCCGAGGCCTTTGGGCTCAGTTGTTGATACCCTTAAGGACAAGAAGAGAGGGGCACCTGGTGGCTCTGTGGTTGAGCATCTGCCTTTGGCACAGGTCACAATCCCCTGGGCTCGAGTCCCATATCAGTTTCCCTGCATGGAGCCCGCTTCTCCC